CACGGACTTGGGGGTCCACGAGGCGGGGGTGGGGGTCGCGCTGGCGACGGCGGCCAGGACGGCGACGGAAGAGGCAATACCAGAGAACTTCATCTTGACGATTTGAAAGTGTTGGGTTGGTACAAGGTTGGTAGCAAGTTGTTGTTGTTGTGATAGTGTTTTCAAAGAGTGAACGGAGTTGGACGATCAACGTCTTGGCTTGATCAAGAGAATGGAAGAAAGAATGTGGTACAGAGAGGAAAATGAGAAGAAAGAATGAAGGACGAGGCAATGTGTCTGAAGAGAGAGAGATCGGAAAGCAGCTGAATGCTCGCTGCGGACTTGCTCTTAAGTATCATTCTTTGGAGTTTTCTTCTTCACCCCTTTGCCTCTCCGCCTGCCTCTCTACCTTTCCGCCTAGCGCTGGCCCTCGTCTCCAGCCTTCACTCCCCCTGCCCTGATGGCCCACCTGCATGGCCATGCTCCTCGGAAGCACTACCGGGGATCTTGCGCTAGCATCGACATGGTGAGGTTGCTTGGAGTTGAGGCAATGAAAGGGGTGTTGTGGACCTCGACGACAGGGACCCTGGCCAGGCAAACCCTATGATCGCGACGTCGTGAGGTGGGGGTGAGGAGGGGGATCACAAGCAGAGGTTGGCGCCACGAGGTCTGACCGACCTATGCAGCGGACGACTTCAGACGGCGGGCACGACTTTGACAGGACCGCATAGGACGACTTCTCTCCAGCCATGACGTGACGTGCCCGTCGAGACTTCGACTAATCCAGCCAGGGGGAACCCTCCATGGCTGCGTTGAGTAGCGCCAGAGCCTCCAGGTAAGGGGCACTCATCTCTATCAGAAACGGCGCCAACCCGCATCGCGACCATTGGGTCAGTGGTCGCTCAAAGCACAAAACTAAGTTGGACTGCTCTGCCAAGACCACACACCGGGCCAAGCACCCAACGTGGTAGAATTGGAAACATGAGAAGGGGGGCCCAGCCGCCATGGGCCAAGCACCGGGCATCGACGGCGCTCGTGGGGCGATTTCGCAAAGGGGGGGGGGGGTTCGCGGGAAGCAATAAAGCCAGGTAAGCGACGGGTTGTGCTGCCAAGTTGGTGAAGTTCATCCATAAAGAGTGACCCGAAAAAAGAAAGAGCTGAACCGCTTCTCGCTTCGCGGCCGGGGTTCGTGTCCTAGTCGAGCCATCACGCTGACAGGGATGTGTTTGTTTCGGCTTTCTGCGGCTGGCGCATGGACCGACAAGAGGCCCCTGATGAGCAAAGGGTTGGCCGAGTCGTGCATCGATTTTTAATTTCAATGTCACTGCTGGAAGGGGGTCGCGTTTCAGGACCTCTGCTCCCCGCTCACTGACACCCAGGGCCAAGGGCGCTTGCTTGTTGCTGCTCTTCTTGCCCTTGAGTTGGCGTGCTTCTTGTTGATGGCGATGCTGGGATGCCAGTGTGGCTATGTCGCTCGGAATACTGCTGGGGTGGATCGTCCAAGGTCGGTCCATCGGTGGTACCGGGGGGAGTACGATCGCCCGGGTTGGAGGGGGATCATAGTCTGTGGCCATACTCTGTGGCCAACCAGGGTTTCTGGTCCTTCGTGTGATGGGATGGAAGTGTGGTCTGTTCTTGCGTGTGCGAGAACGACACTGTAGCGACGTTGCATCTAGAGCGGATGCACTCATCTTGCGGAGAGCACGTCTGTTGAATGGTGCGCCAAGCATTGCCGTGCTCGCTTGGCCACATGGCTGCTTGACGAGTCTGGTCGTCTTTACACTGCTTTCTTGTTCGCTTCTCCGTGTGTTGTTGATCACAGTTTTCAGCCATCTCAGCCCCCATGTGGAAACATGTCCTCCCATCCTCTCTTGTACGCCCCATTGAGCCACGACAAGTCGGATCCTGCATAGAAGCAGAGAGCTTAAGCCGAATAAGTCTTTCTCGCTTCACTCGCGTCCCCGAGGGTCCCGGTGCCCGAGGGGCGCCCACTTGCCACCCCGCCGGAGAAGTCACATCGGCATGGGCCAGGGTCGGAGGTGGAGTGCTTGGCTTCTCTGTGCCCGTCTTGGTGTGCGACCGTCGAGACGGGCAGGTAGACAGGCAGGGTAACCGGGTCGGGAAAACGACTGGGCAAGGGGACATGTTCGACCATGTGTACATGTGCGACCACCTGGGGTGTGGCCCCCTTTCTTTCGGAAACGCTCGGTTCGGTGTAAGAGGGACCGGCCGGGTGTGCCGTGAGACGAGCCAGCCAGTGTCAGCGAGACGAGCCAGTGCCAGCGAGACGAGCCAGTGTCAAATGTAAATTGTCCATGATATTGGTATCCAACGCTATGAGATGACTTTTTCCGGGGAAAGAAAAGCAAAAGGAAAAGCAAAACCGAGCCTGTCTGTCTATCGCTCATTCATTCGTATATGCTATGCCCATCATTTGACCGGCCAGCGCAAATTGTAATTGTATAGGCGCCACGTCCCAAGTCTATACGAA